CGTTGGCTAACACAGCTAAAGTTATAACTATAATGCTAATGTTACACCCAATGTGAAAGCTACTGCGCAAACGTTCAAATTGTTTGGCCAATTTTTATGTAAAATTGAGTTGAAATATGGTGATTTTTGTGGTGGTTTATGGTTGATGTGGAACAATGATATTGTCTGGTTGTGGACTTGTGAGTAACTTGTACCATCTGCTAGGTTACGGTCTCAGTCTGAAGCTGCTTTGATTTGGATCACACTTCCTTGTTTCTTACGACCCGTCCCTTCTCTGCTTCTGATTGGCTAGTAGTCCTTACCTGGGAACTGCGCATGTGCAACTCCCAACAAAGATTTTGTACAAGTAAGATGCATCACTCTGTAGCTCAAGAGCGGAGTGAAAAGAGGAGCTGCAGCAATGTGCAGTATGAGAAAAATATGGTGTTTTTTGAAATTTAAACCATGTGACCCTGTTCTGGTACAACCTCTAAATAGGAGTGTGAAACTGAAAATGAGCATAATACCACCTCTTTGAACTATTGTGTACTGTGTGTGTAATTGGGTAGGTAAATATGAAGCAGTCAGGGCCTGGCTGCAATTAAACTGGTTCACATTTACACCAAACCCCATTCACTTTACTGACTATTTTCTTCCACATCTTTCTGTTCTTTCTTGTTTTTTTTCATTCCTTCATTTCATCTTCTCCTCTTGTCTCATCCACCTTATCCATTTCTCTACCTTTACATTTCTCGCCCTTTCCCTTCACGCCACTCTCCATCTGCGGGCCTTCCTGCATCTCTTCTTCCACCCCCACACACCCTGTCTGCCCAGAGTCACCAGTCATCCACCAACATGCGTTGCTCCTCTGGTCATAATGGAGATCACATGTTAAAGCCAGGTCTGAAACCCAACACGGGACGTCCCATCAAATAAAACCTGCTGTCAGCAGCGGGGCCTGGCTCTGCCAAGGGGAGTGAAACCATATCTATGTCGGCCTCACCAACACGCCATAAAATGGAAATCCATAAGACCAACAGACGTACAGACCACACCTCTCTGGGAGACATTCCATTCTCCCCCTGCAAAACTACAGTTTTTGTCACATTTTGGTCGAGGTTTGCTCAAACCTCTGAGGCGAAGTTTGCAGCAAAGGCTTGGAGCTGTCAATCATTTAGAAAACTGAGATGCACACTGGTCGTATTGGCCATCTTTGCAGTTTGGTCATCATTGTGGCATCCTTAGAAGTCATTTGATACTCTTGTTTATTGCATTACCTTCCTTGCCTGAATACATAGATTTTCTGTGCTGCACATAGAGTCACATTCGTCTTGGTGCACTTAGTTGACTTGTGAAATGTGCTCAGCTTTTACCAATGAACAAAACAGCACTGATTTGAAGTTGGCACCAAACATGGATAATATGAACTTCAGCATTGCTGGACAATCAAACTGCATTACATTGTGAAAAGAATGTCAATACACAAGCTGATTATATCCTTGATTTGGCGATGACGAGTGACTTTCAACTTGATGGAAGAGTTTAAATCAATCTGCAGAACCTAGGGGAGGTCACCCCATACAGTTACCATATCTCACCTCTGAGCCTCAGACTAGTCAGAGAGGTCACAACTATAACATGCAGCACCTCAAAATTGGGCCTGGTGCAGTTTGTTGCCATATTTGGGATGGCGTCCAGTTCAGTTTTTATTCGAACATGACAAACTATATTGTTTGGAAGTACACAGCCTGTTAAAATAAGTTATAACAGGTTTGTGCCACTGTAAATTTGGTTTAGTATCACTCACACTAATTCAGAATTTTTGATAGTACACTTCAAAGACTTACCTTTTCAGGATCATGCTGTAATCCAAAGGGTTCAAGAAGAGTTACTGTCATTTTCAGGCTTGTACAGAAAAAGGGGGTGCTTATACTTTAAATCTGTGAATATCAGATCTTTTCACAGTAGCTCAGTATTTTAACGGTCTGATTTTATGTGTGGGACTTCCTGTGTGGCGTCACACACATGTGGCCTGTGCACACCACCCAATGTAAAAGGTGGCAGCAGCATCGCCACTTCTCAACAGATATGACTGAGATTGAATTTCCCTTCCAGTCAAAATGTCTGAGCTGTGGAGATAGAGACCAGAGTAAAGAGCTGGAAGATGGATGGAGCATTGGCGGTGATGGTACTGCTGCTGGGGAAGGTGGAAGTCGGAGTGTCCTGTTGTTCGTCAAGTAGCTGAGAGATCAGATGCTATCGGGCCAGGAGGTGTCTGCTCTGCGCAGCTCCGTCCTACAGCCCGAGCACTGCACACAGCAGCTAGTTTACGTAAAGGATAAACAGTGACCCGGGGTTGTAATCCACTGGCAGGCCGAGCAGGAGCTGTGTGGATTACTGGAGGCTAACTGTAGCCTCTCCACTTGTTTTACACCTCAAGAGGATCCTAATTGAGCTAAATCTCATTATTTATGGCTGGCTATGGAGACAGTAATCAGAGTGGCTGGTGTGTCTTTAAACAGATCAGTCAGGAGCTGCGTCTGTTAATACAAGAATGTGCGCATGTGCCAAGCACACACACAAACACACACACAGTTTCCAGGTTTCTCTCATGAGAAGACTTAGCAGTGGGAGGGGAAATGTTCTGTGGTCATTAGAGGCTCCAGTACACTCATCATCACTGTGTTGTACATGTGAGAGTGCGTGTTTGTGTGTGCATGCGAGAAAGCGAGAGATATAACATGAAGGCATTTTTGCAGTAGACAAAACGCACCTGGAGAAATGAACATTGCTGTCACTTGTAAATGACAGATTTAATATCTTCATAAAACAATAGCTAAACAAGATATTTTCCTCTCCTTCATTATTTCTGATTTAATGAATCCAGCCAGAATATTCATTGTGAGCAGCTACCTAGACCAGCAATTTCCCGTGTTATTAAAAGGCAGAGATTGTTGATATGAAGATATGAAGTTTCATTGCTGGCTGATATGAGAATTATGAATGGCGACAGAGGGCAAGAGCTGACCCTGTGTGGAGCCATGGCGCTGAGGGGTCTGCAGCTCCACTGATAGACAATAGGCAAGAGAAACTCTAAGAGCAGTTCATATAAATGTCACGCTTTCTAGACTGCTAATAAAAAACGAACAGGGCTCACAATGAAAGCAGCACTAGAAGAGCAAAAGAAAGAGAAATAAAGCAACCAAGAAAACAAGAAAGAAAGGGAAAGAACAATGAGGAGAAGAAGAGGAGTATACTAATATGTTTAGACAAAAGGGGAGAAAAAGATATCAGACAAAATGGCGGTGGAGAGATTTTACAAAGATTTTGAGATTGGTTGGGATGAGGTGATGTGGAGCAGAGTGAAAGAGAGAGAAAGAAAAAGGAGGAGGATAGATGGTGGTTTGGGAGTTTAGAAACCTCTCAACCATATGCATTTTCTATGTCTGCAATATACATGCAAATAGCTGCATGCATGAGCGATAGGAAAGCAAGGAGCAGAGATAGTTTTCTTTTTTTTTGCAGAGCCACATTACCCTGAACGATGCCAAGCTCCAACCTACCTCCACCCATCAACACAAAACACACAGAGCTGAAGACGGCGCTGGACATTTAACTCTTTAATTTGGCATTAAGTCACATAAGTATTCCATTTCTATAAATCTGAATTCGTGACTGAAGGTGAAGTCATGTCTTGCGTTTACAGTTAGTTAGTTTACAGAGTTATTTTAGCACCCAATTGTTGTCGACACACAGAATTGGAAGAGAAAAGAGATAAAAGAAGATGTAGAGTCAGGGAGAGA